AAGTGATACTTATGTAAAAAGAAAAATAATGCTTTTAAATAAATGGGAGCAAATTCAAAATGACACCGGACATTCCACACACTGCTTCCTTAGATCAATAATGTACAACCTTTAGGAAGGAAACTTCATGATTTGAATGAAAAAAAAATAAAAAGATGAATAAATGAATGGAGTAGTATAGCATAGGATTTGAAATATGGGCTATGGATTTGAGAATTTCTCCACCATCATGAGCCGTGGGATCTTGGTCAATTAGTTTACTTCCTCATTGAAGTCTTGGTTTCCTCATGTGTAAATAGTAGCATCAGCAGCCCCTGTGTCGTAGAGCTGTTGAGAAGGCAAAAGGAGGTGGTATATGCAAGGCGCAATGCCTAGGGCATCTTTAAGTGTTCAATAAATATTAGGCAGGGTTTTGTTGATGTGGTTATTATAATTATCAACTAAAGACTGGATGGGTTTATAGTCGGAAGAATGGAAAGTAAGTCTTGGGTAGTCTACAAAATAATAATGAGAGTAAGCTCTGCTGAGAACTCAGAAAGCTGTAGGAACAGTTACTAAGTACAAAGGAAGCCATTGCAGAAGTTTCCTACTAATTGGGTTGTTTCATTGACCCTTTGTGCTTCTGCTGTTTTCCAAATCCCAAAACATTTAATCCAACCTCCTCTGAGGCAATGCCGACAGACTTTCCAGCAGAGGGCACTGGCCCCATTGAAAGTTGGGGAAACCATTTTGAAAATGGCTGCCTTAGCTGTCCTAAAGAAAACACTCATGTGACCCTCAAGCACAGAAACATTTATTTCTGTCTGGGCAAATTTGCCTTCAGACCAAAAGCTTCTCAAGATGGCAAATGTTTTTTCTGCCAGGATGTTGCCAGATATAACAATTACTTACTAGAACCAAAATAACTGCAAAAACTATGTGTTGAAGAGGGCAATTGAGAATGAAAAGAATACTTCATGGCAGCCTCTCATCCCTCAGCTGGCCAGGGATTCTTTTGCTCAGCAGGGAACATTTGCTATACCAAGGGTGCTGTTGCTCAGCAGGGGACATTTGACAATGTCTGGACACATTTTTGATTGTTACAACTGAGGGGTGTGTGGAAAGTGGGAGGTGCTAATGGCATCTAGTGGGTAGAAGTTACTAGAATGCCTAGGGATGCTTCCAACAGGATGAGAGGATATTTAGGAAAGCCCCTCAAACAAAGAACTGTCCAGCCCAAAATGTCCATAGTGACACAGTTGGGAAATCTTAATTTAGATACAGGCACGACACTGATTTTCTACTTGGCTCAGCTTGGCTGGGATGCACATTCATTCTAAAGATGTGATAGGGATAGTAAATAGGATGAAAATTAAGCAGAGGTGGTAGGTACATAGGTTCCAGGGAAGGGGGACCCAGAACCCAGTCAGTCCAATTTGTTCTGTCATTTTGAGCAAATTTGTTAATTTCTCTGGGTCTCAGTTTCTTATCTGCAAATCAAGGTTCACTCTATCTGTGGTGAAGATTAAATTAAATACTATATATAAAGTGCAATTCAGGAATGAAATCCATGCCCTAAAATGCCCAATAGGTCACTGAGTTCTAAAGTTAGCCAGTATTTAATGATCACTCACTAGGTGCAATGATTCATATGGATAACCTCACTGTAGCCTTCTATCATTATTCCCATTTTACAGATGTAGAAACTGAGGCTCAGTCATTACATATCCTCTTCATGGTAGAGGCAGTGTTTGAACCCTGAGCAGTCTAATGCCAGAATCTACACTCTAAACCACTATTCTGTCCGACCTACCGTATTTAAAGAGGTCAGGGATGGATGAAACATTAAGGATCATTTGGACAACCCTCCTAATTTCTCAAAATGGACAACTGAGTCCCACAGGGACTAAGCAGTTTGCTTGAGATAAAGCCGGCATGGAAACTGGGGGTGGGGTGGGGTCCTGACTCCCATTTCTTCCAACAAAGACTGGCTCTGCATTTTTTTTTTTTCAGAATCAGATACCATTTTCCCAGCACAGGGTAAACACAGGACAAATCACTTAGCATGTGTATCTTAATAACCTGACTTGACTGAGATGAATGAATTCACATTCAGTCATCATATAAGCCTATTAAATATTCTGGGAGGCTGTTGTATACATTTTAATGGATGTTGAAACACTGAGCGTGTGTGTTTATGGCTCTTTTAATCTTGCCAGTTTTACTAATATGATTAGTTCGGGAACCATTTCACATGGAGATTTAGATGTCAAAATAGAACACAGAAGTTTCTAGAATGTTTTGCTCCTTGATTTTTTTTTTTTTTTTTTTAAGAAAGGAATATTTGGATCCCACTTATGAGCTCGTTAAGGAAAGAAAAACACAATTGGCTGGAAGTAGGACTTCAGCAGCTCTGAGGGATCGTGGGTGGGGCCCTGCTTTTGTTCACCATGAAACACCATTCACGCTCACTCTTTGTGCTGCCTTCCTCTTGGGGCACCCAGGACGTCATACGCTGACACCCCTGGCTACACCCCAGTTTCCAGGCACGAGGATCCGCGGGACACGCAGTGAGGTGTTCCCAGCTTTGCCTTTCTGTAGCCCGTGCCTGACACTTACGGGAACATCCACAGGGTGACGGTGAACAGCGGCCAAATGGGCAGCTCAGTGTCTGGGAAAATGACTGAGAGTGGCCGAGTGCCACATTGAGAGTTGTTTATGTTGGGAAGAATGGAAGGAGGAAATTGTCAGAGGAAGTGAAATAGGAAACGAGGAGATCAAAGGGAGGAGGAAATGAGATTGAATTGAGCCCCTTTTTGGATTCAACTTTGCACTCCTCACCCATGTGAGGCAAAAAGATTAGCCTTTCGACAGCTGCAGTTGGGGACAGACACTTTCCAACGGGTGCGGCCTGGGCAGCGCCCACATCCCGCTGCACGTGGGCTGCCCGGGCAGCAGAGGGAAGCGAGGCCCATTGCCCACGGGTCTGGTGGGGGTGGCGCGAGCATCCGGGCTGCCGGTTGCACCCACGACACCTTCCACTATGGGGTCTGATGAGCACGTAGAGCCTGAGTTCCCCAGAAGGAAGGAAGGATCACTCAGAACCAACCACTTCTGCAGTACCCAGGGTGGAAATGGGGTTTCCTAAAGGCAGGATTTGTGATGGGAGACTTGGCAACAGGGCTGGGGCTCCTGAGAGTAATGGGGTGAAGACCCGCAGGGAATCAAGCCCTAGCAATGATCCTTTGTCCTGGCTTAAATCTCTCGTCATTCCAGGTCTTTGTAAAGATCAAGAAGCGCCTGTCTCCTTTCCATCTTAGACTGAATGCCTACATTTTCCAACTGGGGCTTTGGTCCCTCAGCCCATGAGGACGGAAGTCTTTCAATAACAAGTAAAAATTAATCACGTAGAGGGGGCCAGGCACTGTCTAGCATCCAGTGAGCAAAACAGACAAACATCTCCATGCTAATTTTCTAACTGGGCAGCAGGCAATCAAATAAGATCAATAAGTAAAATATATGCAATATTCAAATGGTAAAGAGTACTAAAAGGAAAATTAAACCAGGAAAGTGAATCAGAGAGTGTTTTAGAGAGGAGGGGGTCCACGGAAGCCTCCCTGAGGAGGTGGTATTTGGGCAAAGCCCAGAAGGAGATGAGTTAATGAGATTGGGGGAACATGTGGAAAGAAAGCTTCTCTCCTACCCTCCTCTCCTTGCCCGCGTCCACATCCTTCTGGATTTCTGGGAGGTTTGACTTCTAGCAACAGGGCAAGCTGATAAGACAGAAACAACAGGAACAAAAGCAGGTTTCCTCCTACTGTAGTATTTCCCAAAGGCCCATTGAGGTCCTAAAGATGGGACTTTGAGTGCTCTTGTCTAAATACTAAAGCCACACCAGTCTGCATTCCACAGAGTCCAGCCAGTGGGTCTCTGATACGTTTTACCTAAGGAAGAGGTGGGGCAGTGGGCAGGAAAGAGATGGAGGAGTGGGGAGCAGCCCTGGGCCTGGAGAGGCATCCAGGGATCGAATCTAGCTGCATCTTCCATCTGGAACTCTTGGCAGCTGTGCTGATATTTTTCTAGAGTTTTCTGGAGTATTACTATATTCTTCAGAATCTCCGGATGACAGTGAAACTAATTCTCGGAAATTATCAACTCCCCTCTAGGAATCCCAGAGAAGACACTTTTGGAGATGGTGTCTCCGTGTCCGCCCAGCACCCTGTGTGCTCAGACTGTGTTATTCCTAGTTCTCTCCAGAATTGCAGAGGGACGGATTAGCTCTGTAATCCTGACCTCGCAGGACTCGATCAGACAATTCGATTTCTTTCCTATGATGAAATTGATCCGTAAGATGGCTCTCACACTCACGATGATGAGAAATACTGGAATTCTGAATTAGATTCTTTCATAAGTATTTTATGGGGAGATCAAGTTTCAGAGGAGGAGCTGCTCAAAAACTCATGAGTCACTGTGTCTCACTAACAGTCTGGAGAAGTCCCAAGCTTCTCCTCACTGTCCTTCCTGATTAGTTTAGTGGCCCTGTTGGGTGGGCGGAAGTGGACAGGCAAGAAAAATTAGCAAAGACAATAATACTTGAAAACATAAATCCTTTTTGTTTTGAAGTAAAAGAACAAAGTGTGGATCTGTCCCGAAGATAGGTTTTTAGCTTTCATGGACTAGGAATCTTTTTTAAAAAATTAGCCTGATATTTAACATTTAAGGACAATGCCACATATTGCCATAGTTAAGGCCTGAGCAGAATCTAAATGAAGCCCCAACAGAAGTGATTTGTTAGCAGGCACTTGAGATCGCCGGCGACAATTCATTTCTGTAGAGTAATGTAAACTAATTATCTACCATGCGGAAGCGGGGACTGCGCCTGCATGATAGATTGCGGAATATTGCATTATAAAAAGAAATATTAATTCACATAACATAAAATTAAAATTGATGACAAACTTTTTTCTTTTTTTAATTGTTTAATTTTTTAATTACTATTGTCTTACAGCAGCAGACATCACATACCTCAAGAGACACACAAATGTATTTGCCTGAAAGCACATTCTTTGCAAGAAAAAAAAAAAAAACAAAAACCATGGTTATTCAGAAAAGGAGTGTCTATTAGTTCTTTCCTTTATTTCATGGAAATTTGTTTTCTCTCCTGGGAAATAAATTTTAACATGCTGTTATTTGAGGGGAGGATTTTTTTTCTTAGCATATTGCTATATTTTTGATCAGAGAAATTCTTCAACTTTTAATGAAATGAAGCAAGCATAGCCGTCAAGACAAACGCACAATTCTAGGAATTACCATTCTGACTGGAGGGCTGCACTTCACTCTTACTCTCAATCCCAGCGTGTTATTTGCCACCATTTTCTGCCCCAAGTGCTTGAGATAAAACTGACGGCCCGATGGAGAGATTTCTGCCACTCAGCCGCCTGTGTAGGTGTAACAGAAAAACGCCTAATGGAATTATTTATTTCTCTGCTGTTCCAGATGAAATTAAAAGAGTGGGATCAGAATGAGTGGATCTTGCAAGAATGCCAATCAGGCAAGTGGCAGGCAGGTCACTACCCTTAGATTGGGGGTAGGAGAGTGATGGCTTTTCTAGGGCACCATGTTGCCAGCTGGGGGGAATGGCTCCTCCCTGCCGGCCAACTCACCCCTAGGTTTCTCCACAGCTTTCACTTCAGTGGCATTCCCTAGAATGTTCTAGTCTTTGGGGATTTAGGCACAGAGTCCCAATTAAGTGGACATGGACCATGTGACCCTTCCTCCCTCCCTCTGCAGCCACAGCTGATTGGACCAGAAGGCCTGACACAAAGACAACCAATCTCTAGAGAGTCATTTGGCACAGTCTGGTGCCAAGAGCACTGCCTAAATCGAGGTGAAGGGTCGGTCAGAGTCCTCTCCTGGGAACACGGGCTGGGAGGCTGAGGTAGGGTTGAACAGACAGGTTGTGTTGAGTTGTAGGCTGGTGGCCATGTTGAGTCTGATGGAAGGCAAAGAGGAGAGACGTTCTTCTTTCTTCTAGAAAGAAGAACATAAACAAATAGGACAAGAAATGGTGTAGCTCAGGAAGAGAGATGAAGAGTATTGACTCTGGCTCTTGGTGGCCATACCTGGCTGTATTGCCCTTGGATTCCAGGAGACCTTAGGATCCTCATGATAACCCCATATTTTTATTTGCATTAGCTCGAGTGGGATTCTCCACCTTGCAAGCAAAATCACCACAGTCAGCGTATCCTTTGAGGAAGAACATTGGCTGTCCCTCAGTAGCCACCTCCTCTCACCCCTGGAACTTGGCACACAATGCTTTCTCTGCCTGCAGTACCTTTTCTCAGCCTTCCTATGCTGCACCAACAATTGCCTTTCCCTTACCTCTCACCCAGGGACCCCTTCCTCTAGGAGCCCTGTGCCCCTCCATGAGTTAGGCACCCTTCTCCTGTCCCCGCAGTCCCTCTGCTGCGGTCTTGGCCACGACGTTCAGTAATCAACATCTTACATGTCTGACGATGAGCTCCATGAAGACAAGAACATAACTTTCCATCTCTCAATTCTGAGAAACCTGGACAACTTTTCATTGCAAGATTCAAAGCCTAAAAATCAACTAATCATGTTGCATACGCAGTCTTTGACCTGGCATTCAAAACCCCTCTCTGACCTATTCCTCACGACTGAGCCCCGTGTGCTATTCTATTTAATAAACGATATCTAGAGCCTACACGTGGTTGCCAAATCAGGTGTTTGCTGTTTTTAAATCCTATACTATCATTTCCTCACTTCAAGCCTTTACTTGCAGAATTATTTTTATCGTAACTGTCTCTCCTTATCCATCTCTCATTCTCAAAATCCTCCCTCTCCCCCAGAATTCAGCTCAGAAGCCGGTTCCTTCTCAAGGTCATCTGTGGTCTGTCCAACCCTCCTCCCGGGTTTCTCAGAATTAAGAGATGGAAAGTTATGTTCTTGCTTCATGGAGCTCATCGTCAGACATGTAAGATGTTGATTACTGAACGTCGTGGCCAAGACCGCAGCAGAGGGACTGCGGGACAGGAGAAGGTGCCCTAACTCATGGAGGGGCACAAGGCTCCTAGAGGAAGGGGTCCCTGGGTGAGAGGTAAGGGAAAGGCAATTGTTGGTGCAGCATAGGAAGGCTGAGAAAAGGTGCTGCAGGCAGAGAAAGCATTGTGTGCCAAGTTCTAAGGGTGAGAGAGGTGGCTACTGAGGGACAGCCAATGTTCTTCTCAAAGGATACGCTGATTGTGGTGATTTTGTTGCAAGGTGGAGAATCCCACTCGAGCTAATGCAAATAAAAATATGGGGTTATCGTGGAGATCCTAAGGTCTCCTGAATCCAAGGGCAATATAGCCAGGTATGGCCACCAGGAGCCAGAGTAATACTCTGATCTCTCTTCCTGAGCTACACCATCTCTTGTCCTATTTGTTTATGTTCTTCTTTCTAGAAGAAAGAAGAACGTCTCTCCTCTTTGGCTTCCATCAGACTCAACATGGCCACCAGCCTACAACTCAACACAACCTGTCTGTTCAACCCTACCTCAGCCTCTCAGCCCGTGTTCCCAGGAGAGGACTCTGACCGACCCTTCACCTCGATTTAGGCAGTGTCTTGGCACCAGACTGTGCCAAATGACTCTCTAGAGATTGTTGTCTTTGTGTCAGGCCTTCTGATCCAATCAGCTGTGGCTGCAGAGGGAGGGAAAAAGGGTCACATGGTCCATGTCCACTTAATTGGGACTCTGTGCCTAAATCCAAGACTAGAACATTCTAGGAATGCCACTGAAGCGAAAGCTGTGGAGAAACCTAGGGGTGAGTTGGCCGGCAGGGAGGAGCCATTCCCCCCAGCTGGCAACATGGTGCCCTAGAAAAGCCATCACTCCCACCCAATCTAAGGGTAGTGACCTGCCTGCCACTTGCCTGATTGGCATTCTTGCAAGATCCGCTCATTCTGATCCACTCTTTTAATTTCATCTGGAACAGCAGAGAAATAAATAATTCCATTAGGCGTTTTTCTGTTACACCTACACAGGCAGCTGAGTGGCAGAAATCTCTCATCGGGCCGTCAGTTTTATCTCAAGCACTTGGGGCAGGAAATGGTGGCAAAATAACACGCTGGGATTGAGAGAAAGAGTGAAGTGCAGCCCTCCAGTCAGAATGGTAATTCCTAGAATTGTGCGTTTGTCTTGACGGCTATGCTTGCTTCATTTCATTAAAAGTTGAAGAATTTCTCTTGATCAAAAAATATAGCAATATGCTAAGAAAAAAATCCTCCCTCAAATAACAGCATGTTAAAATTTATTTCCCAGGAGAGAAAATAAATTTCATGAAATAAAGGAAAGAACTAATAGACACTCTTTTCTGAATAACCAGTGTTTTTGTTTTTTTTTTTCTTGCAAAGAATGTGCTTTCAGGCAAATACATTTGTGTGTCTCTTGAGGTATGTGATGTCTGCTGCTGTAAGACAATAGTAATTAAAAAATTAAAACAATTAAAAAAGAAAAAGTTTGTCATCAATTTTAATTTTATGTTATGTGAATTAATATTTCTTTTTATAATGCAATATTCCGCAATCTTCATGCAGCGCAGTCCTCCGCTTCCGCATGGTAGATAATTAGTTTACATTACTCTACAGAAATGAATTGTCGCCGGCGATCTCAAGTGCCTGCTAACAAATCACTTCTGTTGGGGCTTCATTTAGATTCTGCTCAGGCCTTAACTATGGCAATATGTGGCATTGTCCTTAAATGTTAAATATCAGGCTAATTTTTTAAAAAAGATTCCTAGTCCATGAAAGCTAAAACTATCTTTGGGACAGATCCACACTTTGTTCTTTTACTTCAAAACAAAAAGGATTTATGTTTTTCAGTAAA